TTCTCCTATATGGGACCTTCTCAACGTCCCCTTTACACTGCCATCTCTGACCCTGCACCCTCTGTGCCACAGTCCCATAGCCCCACACATTGGGAACAGCCTGTGTACACGACTCTCTCCAGACCATAGGGAATGGGAAACGGTGACCGAAGCAGCGATGGAAAGGCTCCGAAGAATCAGCACAGGCAGAAGAGCCTCTGAACTCCAAGGTCACTCAGTGCCCATCCAGTCACCAGAATGCACTGAGTATACCGAAGTGCCTTTCTTGACCCCAGCTATCATTGGCACACCCGCCTTGAGGAAGGTTTATCGTCCTTTCGCCCTTTACCACTTTCATGCAGGCCACACGACTGGCTTGCCACACCTTATTGGCCTTCTAGATGAGGAGGATTCTAGACATGGAGTGACTGGTCTGTGGTGGGTTTTGTGTGCACCATGGACTGTACAATGAGAGAGACTGTCCTTTCCTTCCCCTCCCCAGATTGCTCCAGGGAGTTAGCAAGTGTTTCCAACAGGCTACAATGGCAAGCACTTTGTCACCTACCGCAAGTGAAGGGTGGTTGCTCAGCCTTGGTGAATTTGTAAGAGGAGCAGTAGGGAGGATGGCATGGACGGCTTCCTTGCAATCAGCATCGTGCAGCAGTCCTGCCTAAGATTCACACGTGCATGAATCTTGAACCACTTGGAAGACCAACCTACACCTGCTTCCCTGCTGATTTCCACAGCTGCACCCTAGCTTTTCTCCCCACCTCCTCTCTCCATCCTGTCTCTGTTTAATCTTACACTTTTTCCAGCATGGGGATTTTAAGCCTTGCCTGAACAGTGCATGGGACTTGGGAACAGCGTTGTCAGTCTTAGTGTAACTCATATTACAGCCTGTGTGCACATGTGTGTTCATGAATGGAGGTGGAGGAGAGGTGGGGAAGGACCAGTGAATCACTATGGTGTTGTGGGTGAATCCTCTTTTCTTAAAATTACTCTGTATCATTCATTTATGTCGGGCATTTCTGGCCTCTCAGTCTTTTCTAATCTCTTCAGAATCCCAAACAACCTGTAAGCAAACTTGGTCCTTGCTCTTCCATGTTTGACTGTGCCTTCCTGAAATGAAGAGGCACCAAGAAAGCTACTATGCACTTGTCAACACCCTGAGGTGATTCCAGTACTCTTTGAACCCCCACTCCAAACCCAGGCTGATGGGATCTGTGTCCCCACTCATTTGTTCATCATGTCTCCCAGTCAGTCAACACCTCTCTCCCATCTACACTGAGGATGGAAAGATACTCCTGTGGCTTTAAGCAAGGTAGATACAGGCCCAATCTTGGATGGGTGTAAAGAAGCCTATTTAGGTGCAAAGGAATCTATTTTCCCCTTTGGGTTTCAAACTCAAAGCAACCAGCTCTCCCAGTCAGACTAATCTCCTTTTTCAGTCCAACACCTGAGGACAGTCTGCTTGCTTCTCCTTTGTCACCTTCAGGACTGGGGTGGTTTGTCATGCCAGGGAGTGAACTGGCACAAAACTCACTGCAGGAAAAGATGACTCCTGCCAATTGATCACAGAGACCTTTGTGGGACTGTCCAGTGCATATTCCAGTCTAGAAAGAGACTTTAACCAAACGTGGACTGAGATGGGCGCTGCTGTATCCCTCTGCTGATATGACTGTCAGATGCCTCTCCTGCCTCCCTTAGCTACAGATGACTTATCCTTGTGGTGTCTGAAAAGATCACGTAGAATGTTTGCTCCTTGTACGCATGTAACTTCTTCCAGCCCTGTCCCCTTATTTATGCAAGTAGCACCTTCCTCCCTCACCTCCCTTTCCTCAGTCTCTATGCTGTCCTAGCACCATTAACTCTGCATTAAACATATGGAATAATAAACTTAAAAGTTTCATTTTCACATGTCTGGGTTTTTTTGACGTCTTCTCTTCAAGTCTCTGTTTTTTCCCCCAGTAAATGTATGATGGGTCACATCACCACCATAAGGATCCTGTGCACAGCTTTCCTCTACCTTTCAGGAAAAGGACACAGGCAGAACTCTGGCTGACCAGACCCTTTCATGGAGGTGAAGCTCATCTTCTGCTCACACCCCAGCTCCAATCATTGATTCCGTAAGAAGTGCACTAACACTGATTTCTGTTCTTCAGCTGAAATTCAGCACACGCAATAAGGAGCACTATTTTGCATGTGCTTCACCCAAAAATTTCTTAGTGTAATTGTTAATGCTCCCTAGGATAGAAGTGTGGGATTTCTCATCTTGGTTCCTCATCACCAGGTAGCAGGTAACATACCTTCAAAAAAACTTCCCCACATACACAAACTTTTGTATTTTGGAAGCAACCTTTAGTTTCTCTGTAGAAACTCAACCCCCCAGCCTCTTGCCTTCCACAAGCAAAAACGTAAATACAAACACTCACACACACAGAGTATATTCCAGATTAGATGTATAAACCTTCTTACTTGTTGAAGACATTCTGGGTATAGTCAGATCTGAGAGGGTATCTGAAGTTTCCGGAAAGAAAATGTGTAGCAGGTATGTTCTGTGCTTCAGAACATCTCTTGAGGCTAACAGCAGGAAGGTAGGAGCCCAACTAAGAGAGACTCCACAACAATTACAGGTTGATTCCAAAGGGTTTCAATGCTGATGCACGTGAGCAAATACAGTGAGTTTGTGTTCACTAAACACTTTATGGGCGAGTAGAGTGAGCAGAACATCTGGGAACACATTCAAAACTTTTTAAAAAGCACAGCACTATTTGGATGAAGTTCTGTATAGGGTCAAGAGCATCCATAGCAGAATGGCTTAATGGATCTAATAACAGTGATGCCAGCTAAAGAGTTCTGTGCAAAATAGGACTGACCATTTATGGAGAGGAGAAATCTCTACCCCAAATTACAGGCTTTAGGAAGAGCCCAGGAAGGAACTACTGCACTGCTGATCAGGTCAGGACTGTGTGGGGGGAAGAAGGGAAGCCATGGTGGAGTTAGGGGTATGAGAGCTGATCACAGGGATGTGAGAGAGAAGTGACACGGCATGGATGAACAGAAGAGTGGAAAAGAAAGTTCGTAACTACACCTAAGTACCCTTCTCCAGCTCCTCATAAAGCAAATTAAGAAAGCAAGTAGGCTCTGCCTCGACCATTCTCCAGTGGAAAGAAATGCTTCCTCTCATGTAGGAGGATGCTCACAACTAAGACAGGACTGAGAATGCCACTGGAAACAGAGGGGTTAATCACTCGTCTTGCAGCCTAGCAGGAGCTGGCCCGGCATCCTTCCCTATCCCTTTAATCGTATCTGATACAGATGCAAGGCTGGGGAGGGGAGGCGGGTAGGGAACAAAGAAGCCATTTAAAAAAAAAATCAAAAAAAAGGACAAGAAAACGACCCCGCGCTCCATGGCAGACGCCAAAATGATTGCACAAAGGCACCATTTCAGGGTTGAAATTTCACCGCACCAACGTGATTAAAGGATTCCATGGAGGGTGGGGGGAGAGGGCTGAAGGCAACAGTGCTGCAAATTAACCTTTTCTTGGTAAGGATGGCCTGGACTAGGAAGCATTTGTGTTCCTCACAGTCAATCCCCTTCCCACACCTGTGAGCACCTCCACATCCCCTTTGACCTGTCAGTTTTGCCCAGGACCCATTCAATTCTTGCATTATTGCCTTGAAAACCAGCCCCTCCTGTGCACATCAACAGAAGATGCTCAGACTGGTGCTTTTACAGGGAGCAGTAAGAGAATGACATTCATGGTTGGTTATATGAGCAGAGTTCCCAGGCAGGTGGGTATAAACTCCCTTTGGGACATGGATGCTCATGTGCAGGCACTGACCACATATGCAGCATGGAGAATGAACACTTTATATATACAAGCACAAGCTTTAACACAGATTAGCTGGAAATACTCTTTCTAGGCCAGTGTAAAAAAAAAAAAATTAATATAAGGCAGAAACCATAGGTGAGGTGCACCTTCCCCCTTCTTCTCTTTAGAAATAAAACCTGAAAATTCTGAGAGCACTTTTTAGTAAGAAAATTAAGAAAGACTTTATGTGTTCTGCCCAAGAGCTCAGATCTTCCTCACGTAGAACAAATATCTTGATGCACACAGAACAAAAAATGAAAAGTAGGTAGCTGTTGGCTGGAAGCCCTTGCAGATTGTAAGGCATCCACCCAAATCTTCACTCGAGCATGTTACCTCCCTGCACATCAGAGGTAAGAGTGCAGGTACCTAAAGGGGCCAAACGACTGATCTTTCATCACACTACAGATTAAAGGAACTTCAGGATTTGACTACTGTTGTGCCACTGTAAGAACCACCAGGGTATGAAGTGAGATGGCTGGAGAGCACCCACCCCTCCAGACCATCAGTTCCACCGCGTGCCAGAGAACGGCTGCACAAGGAGCGAGCGAAACAACCACCTACAACTGCGAAGCTGGTGGGGCTGCAAGTGGCGACTGCGCTTCCGGCTGGGGCAGTGCCACTGAAAGGGGATCCCCACTTCTGATAAGCGGTGGGAGCAGAGAAACAATAGGTGATTTGATGAGAGTGCTCTACGATACTCCTGAGAAGCCCCACAGTCAGCACTGGCCAAAGAGGAAATTGGGAGTTTCCACAGCAACCTGCTCAGGGCACAAAGGCCCAACTGTCTAGGGAAAAGCAATGAAGGTGTCTCAGCACTCTCATTTTAAGAAGGAACAGCGGTGGAAGGCTGGAGTCTTTCTGAAGTCAGTGTACCTGCAAGATCATTTCTGTACAGCAGGAGTTTAATTGTATATCAGTCCTATAACCAGGGAGGAGCAGTGTTGGAGGAGGAGGAAGCAGTTACAGCAGACTTTAGCCTAGCTAAAAGATAAGGGGGAAAAAAAGTTGCAAAAAAAGCATTGCACTTGGGTCCCTAATTTTACTAATACAGCCCATGACACAGAGAGAAAGAATAATAGCCAAGCTGTTACACAGAAAGTCATCTCTGGGGCATGTAGGACTGAGATGAAAGAGGAAGTGGGAGGGGAAAAAACCCAAACACATTTAACTTAAAATGAGGAGATTTAAAATTTATTTACATAAATACTAAACAAAATTAGAAACATTCCTGAAAAAGAAAAAAAAAAAAACAGCTGGTGGCTGGAGTCTGATCAGTCTGTGATAATTAACTCATCCACACCCCAGTCTTCATAGCTCCCATCTGGCAGGTAACGACGGATGATTATGGGGATCTTGCGTGCTCTGCAGGGAAGACAGAGAGGTGAACAGAAATATCAGAGCCTTCACTGTATCACTTTAGCAGGCAGTGGGAACTCAGGTGCTTGGTGGTTTCAATAAGCTCATCATACTTAACTGAGGGCTGTGTAGCACCAGTGATTTGATATGATATAGTGAAGTCCCAAAGCTTTAAAACAGTCCCAAAGCACTGAGTGCCCTTAGGCTACAAACACCGAAGACCCACAGGTCAGACCTCTGTTGCTAGTGCAGGAATTGAGCCCTGTGATCTGAACCCACCATGAGACAACATCAAGTATCTAACACTGATATAGGGGGAGAAGCAAACTGTGGGACAGCAGGGAGCTCTGCTGTGGAAAGGCGGGCCTGCAAATGGTCATCCAAAAGCTGCCTCTGCTACAGTCAGAAAGGATTTATTTACCTTTCTGTAAGCAGGGGCCAAGCACAATAAGCCAAGCACGCAAGGGTGCAGGAAACACACATTCTCACCAGACTGACCCTTATTTTAATTTTTGCCAGGACTTCATTTGAACACAGAGGTCTGTTCAGATGGTTGCTTTGAAACAATTCCATTTGGGGAATTAAACTGAGTCTGGAAAGATGAGGACCTTGAGTTTGCATCACAGAAATAAAGAACACGGGGACTGTGAAGTAGAAGAGGTCCAGAGCACTCCTAATCATCAGTATTTGCACAAGCAACTAGGATGGAAGAGAGCAGCTGTGGAGAAGCTTCAATGTGAAAAAAGGGGAAGGTAACTATAGAGCTTACTGAAGGAAGACAAATTTGTCTTGGAATAAACTGCTAAATGCTGGGATGAGGAGAGGATTGCTGGCTTTATGGGAATCAATACACTCACCACCAAATCTGTGACTTACTTGAGTTCTTTCATGGCAATCAGCAAGGGGTCTGTCTCTCCTTCCAGCTCAACCATCACAGGGGCACACATCCTGAGAAGAACATCAACAAGCACTTAAATAAACACACAGAAGAAAAAAAGGGACAGCTCAACATCTGTCACCTGTACAATGGTCAATAAAGGAGAAGGGTGAGACTGGCAAAACTGATTTGCTCTGTTACGCACTTCAAGAAGAAAATTCTCCCAGCTGGCTACAGAAAGAACTTTTACTTGAATGTTCTTCTTGTGCCATCCCTCAGCCTCTGCTGACCAGCTCATGCTCAAGGACTGGTCAAACCCACACTCATCTCCCTCTGCTGTGCTTAAACATGAGGAAAAGAGCAGTTCTACAATTAATCCAATGGAAAGGGTGGAACTGCTGTATATTGAGCATGCCTCCTGCAACTCCAGCACATCTCTTATGTTCTGACTTGCTCACAGCTTCCAGGCTTTTATCAGGGGAAGAAAGGGGCTGGATTTACAACATACTTTACCTCTAGGAAGCAAAAAATTATGCATTTTGCAATGGATTGTGATGACACCCATCTACTGGGTAGTGGCAGCAGAGAAACCTCACGTTACATGTGGGTGAGGCCACGGGGGCTGCTCGCCTGGGTTCAGCACCAAAGGCAGAAGATGCAGGTGAAGCAGAACCAGGTGGCAGAATGTTGTGGATTAAAGGCCTGGCATGGGCCCATCTCATCTCCCCCCATCTTTCTGGCCTTCTGCCAATTGAAAGAAGTGCACAAAACAGGTTCACAGAGCAGAGGCTGTGCAGAGAACAGCTTGGAAAAGTTGTAAGGAAAGATCTGATCACTACCTGCGAGCTTCTAAACAATACAGAACAGAGGCTTCATTTCAAGGGTGGATATAACCAAGATGAAACTCAAAAACTTGTCACTGCCTAACAATCTAATTCAAAATGCAGTTTTTCCAAAAGCACAAAACTTTTTGATATTTATTATTATAATAAATCTAAATAGGAAAACTGATTGAGAGCAGCAAGCCTTGACAGCACTTAAAATAGGTTCTAAATGTTATTACCTATTATGAGTGAAGCCTTATTATTGCACATTAAAAACTTACAAGTGCAAACATTATTGCACTTTAAAAAACTTACAGCTCGCCACAACAGAACTGCACTTAAAGTGAATTTCAGGTTGGTTTCTCCTGTCCGATTCCTACAGCCCTGTGGTATCAACTGAACACATTTTGGAGCATCCTGCTTTTACATAACAGTTTTTACATAACAGTTATGAGCTTTCCAGTCCACATTGGCTCTCTTAGGAAAGACAGAAATCAGAATCGGCATGTCCCATTCTGTACTAATTTTTGCCTGTGACCTAGGAAAATTCACTGGGGCTAATAAATGCTCCCCTTCTCTAGGCACAAGTAGCACAGTCTCAGCCAAGGAGAGACACAGAGACTTCAGGTGCAACTAAGAGCTCCACGGTTCTGGGCATCAGTGTTGACCAAGAGGATGACATGCAAGCTCAGCAGCCATGCAAAGGATCCAGGAGTTTTTAAGGGAAGAGGAAAGCACGTTTCAGTGCAAAGGGACACGCAGCTGTGGCGGCGGTGGGGACACAGCGGGCAGTACTCACGCTATCTGGAGAGCACGGGTGCCCAGGACTCTGGCTCGCTCGTACTTGGTCATGTAGGGTGTTGTAATCCGCTTCTGGTTCGCCTGCTGTCGCTCTCCCGAGGGCAGGATTTCCACGTTCTCCTGTCCTTCCTGGTAGAAAGCAGATCGGCACCGCAGCTCAGCTGCGCCCGCCGCCGAGGCCCTGAGGTACCGGGAGGGCTCCCGAGGCCTCCCCAGCTCCGGCCCAGCGGGACCGGCAGAGCCGCGGGGCACTCACCTCCTCCGCGTTCTCCAGGTCCTCCAGGCCCTCATCCTCCTCCACATCGTCGAAGTCGTCCCCATCAAAGCTGCGGAGGAGACACGAACGTCACACGCGGGGCCGCCGCCTCCCCCCGACCGGCCCTGAGGCGCGACACGCCACTGCCGCCCCCCCTCCGTGCCCCCGGCCGCCCCGCTCTCACTTGTCCTCGTTGTCAGACATGTTGCCCGCCCGGCGGAACTGGGAGGCACTTCCAGGAGCCAGTTCCGGGCGCTGCCGTGACGCTGCCGGAACCCATCCGATGCCGTTGCCATGGCGACCGCCTCCGTGTCCTGTCCGCCAGCCCGGTCGCGCCGCTCGCCGCCCGTCGCCATGGAGGCGCTGGGGACCGCGGGCCGCGGCGGGGGCTCGAGGCCGGGCAGGTCGGCCCAGTACAGCCCGGGCACCCGGGAGCTGCTGAGAGGTAACGGCGGAGCGGGGCCCCCCCGTGCCCCCGTGCTCCGGCCCGCCGTGCCTCGCCCGAAGGAGAGCGTCCCACCGTGGTCCGGGAACGGGGCGGGCCCGTCGCTGGTGTCGCCGCCCCGGCTGGAGTCTCCTAAACCTGCATGTTCCCCATTGGGTTCGGGTCGTGACGGGGGGAGGCCCCGGGGCGGGTTCCCCAGCCCGGCTCCGCTGCCTCTTCACCCACACGTCGTGTTTTTCAGCGATGATGGAGGAGCTGAAGCTGACACATTCCCAGAGGCGATACCTGATGGACTGTGTGAAACGTGAGTGAGGCGCCCGGGCTCTCCCGACCGCTGCTGTGCTGTTGGTGAAGAGCTTTTGCCGCTCACCTTGAGACGGAGGCGTTCGTCCGCAGCCTGCTTGGATGAGCAAGTGCTTTAAAATAGCAGCACGGCAGCTGCTGACACGCTGGGATGTGAGGGGTGAGGTGTCCCTAAGGGTCATCCAGGAAACAAGGCACAACATGGTGACTTGAACCACAGTCTGTCTCGTACCAACGACCAGGGTGAGGCATCTGTGGCATCTGGAGTCTTTGCTTGTGATGCTACAGTAGACCAACAGGCAGGTCTTCTGCTGGCACTAGGCCAGGATCCTTGTGGTCCCTTCTGTGTCGCTTACTGTTATTTTTGGTTTCTTCCCCAGGAGGAAATGCCCTGCCCCTCCAGTGGCCCTCCACATCCAGCAAACAGCCAGTGCCTGCTTCCTCCCCACCAGCCTGTCAGCCAAGCAGGCTTCCAGCTAGACCACATCTCCGACCTGCCAAGGTGTGCCAGGCGGGAGATGCCTACACTCGAGAGAAGTTCAAGCCACAGCCCACACGTAAGTTGCTGATAAATACACAGTGACCCTTGGACCCTCTCTTCCCCTTCTGTCCATCCCCTGCCTGCAGTCTCAGTAGTGGCAGAGTGTATCTGAATTGCTCCATGTCCTCATGCTTTTGGTCTTTAGAGACACTTTAGAAATGGATCTCTGACAGAACATCTACTTTAAGTGCTTGCTGACTTCTGCCCCCCAGCTTGGGGTGGGGACAGGCAATAGGGACCTGCACAGTCCTTGAGTAAGAAGGAAGTACTATGTGACTTTCTAGCACATAAATGTGAATCAAACCTCTGATGTTGGTCTGATTGGCTCTGTCCACTTGTGTGGTGCTTCAACAGTTCAGTCCTGGGATGGACTGATGTTAATGTAACACCTCCTCTGTCACCGTTAGCAGGGGAGTGGTGTGGCCAGGCTCCTCCCTGAGGAGACAGGCTGATAATAAATTCCTTTCCCTTGGCATTCACAGGAGATTTGGAAAAGGAGAAGCAAAGACTTCAAAACATCTTAGCGACAGGGAAGGATGAGGTGGAGGATGAGGTGGAACGGGTGCTGGTTCGGACAAAGGAAGAGGAAATACCTGAGCCTGACCGGTTTGAAGAATGTACGTCTTTACATCCCCTGGAGGGAGGCAGGCAGGAAGCCTCGGAAGCCAGCTCCCTCCGAGGGCTGGGGTGGCAGGCTGTGTTGCCAGTAACCTGGAGCCCATTGCAGAAGGAGGCACAAAGCCCAATTTCCAAGAGAAAGGCCTTGCTGCTGTGCTGCTGAGATCCAGCCATCCTTGCAGAGCTTATACTGCTGGCAGATTAAAGCTCCCTGGACTGCCTGCACAAAATGAACTCTGCCAGCAGGGGAATACCCTAAGGATGTGCAGGGTGACCTGGGCAGCAAGCCCAGATACTGTGTGTCTTTCCCCAGCAAGCATAACTCAACATAGATTAGGTCACTTTCCAGCCTGACTATGGTTTGGGCTGTTTCACTCCAGGATCACAGCAGTTACACTAGCAAAGCTTAAATGTTGAGCAAAATTTTAAGCAGTGAAAAACTTTGGCCTGAAGAGTATGCTGGGATAGCAGAACCCTGCTTAATACCTCTCTGTGCTTGAATCTTCAATGTATGTGTACACCCCAGCCAGCCCTTCGCTAGCCAGGACAGCTCAAAGATGGGCAACACCAGAATAACGTGTACAGAAGGGGTGCTTTGGTCCCTGCTGCAGGGAGCCAGTGCAGCTGGCATCACACATGCTTGGTATCCTCCAAAACTTGTCACAAGCTGAGTGTTGTCCTTCGCACATCTTTGACAGGATTTGGACCAGCTGGCTGCAGGTCTGTGCTGCAAAACAGCAGCTAATGTTTCCTGCCTGGTCCTGGGAGCAGAGATGGTTGAGATAACTGGGTGATGTGTGTCAACTAATGAACCTCAACAGCAGGTTCTCTCTCCATCCACAGACTGGCTAAATTGCCCACAAGCAACAGAGAATTGTCTGTACAAAGAAAACCAGAAACCTACCATTCCTGGAAGTTGGGGAGGAGGAAGAAGTTGGGCAGAGGGGACATTTCCCATTGTGGAACGGTCTACTGGGGTATTGTGAAGATGTGCAAAATGAGTGTTAAGAACATCACCCTGCCTCTGGTGGGACTGCTGTTCAAGTTGAGCTAGGAAATTGAGGGTTCAGAACTAGACAGAAACATGTTTTCTTGCCTTTTGGCTGTATCCTGTTTCCACAGTTCTTTCTCTTATCCATTAGTGGTGAATGAAATTCAGGACAGGAGGGAATTCCTGGCGCAGATGGAAGCTCTAGGACAGGACAAGGAGTATAAAGGGATTGTCCTTGCTGAAATCTCACAGGTACGCAAGGGTCTTGTCTGTACAGTAAGTGGAGGGAATGCCTTGTGTCAGAGACCATAAAGCAGAGACCTCTGGTATCTGAGCAGGGAAGGGGACAGAGAGCTGTTTCCCTTCATGGCACAGCTCAGGCGTGAATTTGGGGAATGGTGGGTAGAGGTTTTTAGCCTTTCTTTTCATCTCTGCGTGTAACTCAATCAGGGAAATTGAACTTTTGTTCTTGAGATTGGCAAAAGAAGAAAAAAAAAGCTGATGGCTTTCTCCCTGCTCAGCCCTTTCTCTTTGTACTTTGCAGAAAATGCATGAGATGGAGATCATTGACAAGAAGAGAAGTGAGGAAATTAGAAAGATGATGACAAAAGACTTCCCTGGTGGGAACAAATCTGATCTCCATGACTAGCCAAGGACAAAACACGAGTGCAGTTTGTTCCCACCTTTTCTTCCCAGACTCTTGGCATCGGAGTCTTAAGGACTGGTCTTTTCCCAAAGAGGGGGCAGCACCATCTGTTGCCCAGCGGGCAGGACCAATTTGTACATAAACGGCAACAGAAGTTGTTGTAAAATCCTACCCACGCACCGGATCCCCTCTTGCTCAACAATATTAAAGACATGGAACCCCATGGCAATCAAAACATAACAAAGCAGAGCCTCCTTTGCCTATGCAATGCCTCAGTACAGCAATCCACCCATAGAAATGTCACTCCTTCCCATCTACCCAGAGGTGGAGGTTTCTCATGACAGCATGATGCTAACACACACACTGCCACCCACACCTGCAGCCCACTCGCTGCTGTCCCTCCTGACTCAGGGAACAATTCAGGGAATGGCTCTGCTGGCAGAAGGCAGGGAGGAGGATGCAGCTGTGTGGCCTTGCGCAAGCATGAGCCCCCTCCCCCGACATTGCTGCAGGTCAGTGTGACTGTGCATCAGCAAAGCTCTGGCAGCAGCTGAGCTGGGCAGTCACTCAGGAACACAGCTGTGCCGAGCAGGGAGAGGGGATTTCAGACCAGTGCCTGCTGCTCTTGGCTGTGGGTTTGCTGTGGTTTTTTGGTTCCTGAAAGCACGGTATGCAGAATAGCCATCAGCTTCCCACAGAGCCTGGAAATGGCTGTTTGCTTACCTCAGACATACCCACACCTTTGTACTCTAGCAGGCTGAAGCATGATGCCTTGCTTTTCCTGTGCAAATCCCAGCATAAAGTCCAGTTTCCAATTTCCTTAAGATCCCATCCTCTGCTTCTAAGCAATACTCTTGTCAGCCACTCACCAAAGCCAGGCAGCATGCCGTGTCCAACATGACTACACAAAGGAATCAGAAACCTAAGCCAAGATCATTTTTTAAATCCAATGTTTCTTTTATTTCTGTTCAGGTGAATGGAAGTCACGGAATTAGTACAGTATAATTTACAAATCAATCTTCTGATTGGGCGTGGGGCCAAGGGGTGTCAGGCTGCAGTGATCCCAATGGCCTTTGGCAACAGTGACATGACAGCAGGCTCTAAAGCAAGTCTGTTTCTCCTTGGAGAAGGGTTGTGCTTTGGGGTCTCCCCTCCCCTACCACTGCTCCTCATCAGCATGCTGGGGTAGGGAAAGGTGAGATGGCATCACCAGTGCAGGGCTGAGCTGGCCAGCTCCCAGCCATGGGGGCCACACTGGGGCTGAGGAGGGGCTTGGGTCCCTCTGGTTTTGGGAAACGAGGATCCCTTTCCAGAATGCCATGCCAGCCACCTTGCAAGGCACTGCTCGAGAGCATTTTGGCTAAAGCCTGTTGGGTTTTTAGAAGGGACTGCAGCAGATGGCTCAGGGCTGGTTATGTCTAATTTGCTAATGAGAAGGCATGATGAACAGCTGACCAACCAAACACCCATGAAACTACTTCTGGCTGATCCAACAATTCAATAAATAATTCTCCTCGCCTTGGAAGAGAAGGCAGGAAACAAAAATGGAAGGAAGGAGGGATGGTTGGAAGAATACCACCCCCCATTCCCTCCTCCAATGTACACACACGCACACACACAACAAATAAAATAAGGGGTTTAAAGTTTTAGGATGGGTTTGAATTCATCTAGTAAAGGAGGTGTAAAAAATAACCAGCCAACACCTGCACACTTTTAAAGTATACACCGACGAAGCTGGGTAAAGGTCAG